CTGTTGCGAGGTCGCGCAGTCCTGCTGCTGCTGCGTCCATGCCGTGCACCTCCGCGGGCAAACGATATTTTATACAATGGAAACACGTTATAACCCTACGTGCCCAGCATGGGGGACGCCGCCGGCCGCCGCTCGGCGCGAGCTGTCGGCCGCCGCGGGGGCGGGAGGCGGGCGGGCGGGCGGGGAAGTCCCTTTCGGTTCCGCGCGCGTTGCGCTGTGGTGAAAGTGTGATCTGAATCCGCAGCCGTCGCCTCGTCGTCGGGCTGCCGGTAGACGAGCCGGGAGTATCGAAGGTGAAGAAGTGGTGAGTAACGTCTGGAACAGGCGGGGTCATTATACCCTGGGGCCGGCCGTGAGGTGTGGGCCAATTTGGCCGGGGCGTTGGGTGTGATTTGGCCCCGGGGGCCGGAGGAGCGTGTGGGGGGCCCGCCGCCGCCGCTGCTCGCGCCTGCCCCCTCCAGCAGCGCGGGGCCAGGAGGAGGCTCGGGAGGAGGGGGGCGCTCTGTAATTCCTAATGGGTGCACGCTGCCCGGACGGCTTCAGCACTGGGCTAATTAAGAAAAGATGTCGCCTAATCGGGGGCGATAGGGACATCCGGCTGCCCGGTGGCGGCGCTGCTCCGCTGCTGCTGCCCGTCAGCCATAACGGCCGGGGCTCGCGGCCGCAGGCAGCATGGCGCTGCAGGTGCGGCGGGGCGTGGGTGGCCGCGCAGCAGCGGAGCAGCGCCATTGGCCGCTAGGCTGCTGGAGGCGCGAAGCTGCTGCCGCCTCCGCGCCCGTCGCGCCGGGGGTCACACGAACGAGGCCCGCCCAGCTCCTCCTCGTCCTGTTGGGGGCTGCACATAAACTATACGTGGACAAGGCTGGGTATGCTTTTCTCACGGCCATTTCCTTAGCGTAGCTATGCCTGGTTTTGGGGTGACATGTGTCGTAATACTTGTACCACGGGGTACATTTTACATTATGGGTATGGCAGCATCTATTAGTCGTACCCGTACTCGTCCAGCTGGTTTACGGACAGCCCCTGAACAAACGTTACGCCACTTCGACTCGGACGGCGACGGAAGAGGCGGGTTCGGCCTCTTGAACTTGCTGCTCTTGCGGTCCAGCGAGCGGCGGCGCAGACCTCCCCGGCGGCCGCTCGCGCTTCGGCTGCTGGGCCCCTGTGCGCGCCAGTCTCGGCGGGCGGCCGGGCGTCGGGAGAGGGCGTGGCGGGGCGTGGCGGGGCGTGGCGGGGCGTGGCGGGGCGG